GGGGAGCGGCTCCCCCCGGGTTGGGGGTGTCTCTGGGGGGACCCTCGCCCCCCATGCCGTGGGTCCCGTCCTCCAGCCGCCCCCTCCCCAAGTCCTAGCGCTGAGAAAACTTTCCTTTTTGTTAGATGGGAAGTTTGCAGCCATCCCCTCCCCCAAGGACCACCTGGCAGCCCCCTGCTTGGGGTTGGGGGGCACCTAGCTTGGGGACGCAGCTGGATCTTCCCTCTGACTTCGGGCGGAGAGGGGCAGAATGGGGTCTTCCTTCACTCGCCCCCCGTTACCCCCAAACGTACTTCATTGGCTGCAATGGGATCAAAATAATAAGTATGTCCACATAAGAGGGAGAGGGGAGGGGGACACAACACCCCCATAGCCGAAGTACCCCACTGCCGACTTATCTCAGACACCTCTCATTACTCCCCAGGCTGCACCTGCTTTCGTGCCCCCCGCCCCCCCAATTTGTTTTGTCCCCCACTAAAAGGCTGTAGAGATTTATACGGGCTGTTTTGTTTCTGGGCTTTTCAAGGTGGAGCCTCTCCTCTTACTTAAACACTTTCTCAACATAAGTTCCCGAGAAGGGAAGGGGGTAAGAGGCGACAGGGGCTTGAAGAGCCATTTCCCTAAATGAATTAACCCTAATTTGCCAGCCCTGGCGGAGGGCTTAACTGTTGGAAGACTACATGTACGTGCAATCGCCATCTTGCTGGAAGAAATGTGGTTGTTTTTTTCCCCATCTCCCCTCTTAGGAGTGTTGTTGTTGTTGATAATAAAGATATTAGTGAAAAGCGTCGTGGCTGCAACCCGAAAGACTCGGAGCTGCAAAGTGTCGGCTTGTGGTATCGGAAAAACTCGGGAGGAAGAGTAAAAAAAAAAAAAAAGCACACCTCTAGAATACTTCTTTTAAAAGAGGGAATTATAAGATCGAACTGGCATCCTAGCAACACGGAGAATACCACCGAAAAAACACACATCCAGGTACATTAGCATCTCTCCCCACTTTCAGGATACCCCGTCGCTGCTCAGTTCCAAAAACTGAGTTAGCAATGTGTCTTTGTTTTGTTTTTTTAAGCAAAACCATGAGATGCAGTTATATGGCAGCAGTAGAATGTGAATAATAAAACGTCAGCACCTTTGCAATGCCTGCGTCTTTTCTCTTGGGTGGCTTCCTTAGACTCTTCACAAAAAGGAAGGGGGCAAGCAGGCGTTCGTCGACTTGGAGAAAGTGAAGACCCCCATGTAATGTCAGGGCGTGGGGGAGGGAGGGGGGAGAGAGAGGACAGAAGAATAGAGTTAAACCACAAGGCAGCTGCGGTTTGGGAAGTTGTTCTTCTGCCTCTAACTCCCGAGGTTGACTTCCAAGTAAGATGATCGTAGAGGGGTGGGGAAGGGCCTTGGCCCCAGCCCCCGGCCCGTCTATCTCGATTCAATTGTTTCGACTCCGACATCGCAGATGAAGATTGGGATCGCTAATCTTACTGTTTTGCCAAATGATTAGGTTTCAGGCTCATCAATCTCTATCCTTTGTCTCTATCTCAGTATCCTACGCATTATTCAAAATAAATATTTTTTTATATCTAGGCTACTTTTAATTGGGAGAGTTGGAAAAAAATATGGGGAGGGGATACACGCTCGTGTAAAACTTTTCTTTTAAAGCTGCTTTTACCCTTGATTTGTTATACCGAAAAAAACTGCGAGAAACGTAATAGGGAGAAAGATTACGCCAGTAAATTAAATGTAATTTCAAATTTTTCCACATTCCAGGATTGTAAAGGGCCGGGGGGTGTAGAAAATTAATCGGTGGGATCGAAGGTTACTTACAGGATTCACATAAGATATAAACATGTTACACAAAATTCTAACAAATGTTTTCCCGAAAGTTAATAAATACTGTTTAATTTATTTAAATTATAAAGTGGGATTTTGCTTCCTTAGTGTGTATTACGAGCCAAGTTCTCCGGAAAGTAGTTTTGTATGAGCTGTGTTAAGTATTTAGTGAACAACTGAAAAGGATTGAGATAAGGGCCAGCGATAAAGCAGCCCCATGGGACGTGAGCCCGTTGACAATTCTCTATTGACAATAGCAATAGCTGCTTTGAAGAGCTCTCATCAATCAGCTGATTAATTCTTACAGAGGGAGGGGAATCGGTCAAACTAAACTGGCTTTCGTCGCTAAAAAGCCACCGTAGAACGCGCGAGCAATGTTTTGTGGGAAATGTAGTCGGTGAAGGAAGGCTTGCCTCTACTGTACTGGACAGCACCAACACTGAAAGAAACGAATAAACTCCTCCTCCCTGCAATTCGTCTCTGACAGCGACAACCAAACGCTTATGGATGATCAAACGCTCACGCTTCCTCTTCGCCACAGACTATTTACACGCACGCATCGCCCAAAAGAGGCCAGCCCCCCTTTCCTTTGTTTCCCTTAGCGAAGCCAGAGTTGGGTTCTGGGCGCACGTGCCGTTCGGTTCCTGGGCGCTTGACTACAGAATTTGAGTTTAATCTCGGCTTCATCCTTCAGGGACCCCATCCGCTGCTTTAGAAAGCCATTGTGGGGGACGGCTTACAAAATGAATGAGAGAATGAAGGAATGGCCGGATTAGGGGACGCATATGCGGCTCTTTTCGCCGGCAGCGTGACAAGAACGCGAAAATGACGGTTTGCAGACTGACGGATGACGACTTTTAGTAGGATTTCCTTAAGGTGACTTTTAGCTGTTTAAAATCCAACCATCTTACAAATATTTGCTAGGGCCACGTCTTCTGTCACAGTAGGTTTTTCATGACTCTGTTAGCGCGACATACCGATTCACAACCACCTTACAGCCAGCGGGTTCTGCGAATCCAGCTTATGGTTAATTTGGGTTGAATAAACTATGATTAACTGCAATAAGGTTGTAAAACCAAAGTACATATAACGTCTTCCCAAGCTGTACTCCAGTATTTATGCTAACTATATTCTCTTCTTGGTTCAGTCAAGGTCATTGTTTTTAGAGGGAGAGGATTTAGTAGCTGTGAAACAAGCCTGTTTTTCTTACAAATAAAATTACAGTATAGCTCAAATTGCTTTTTTTTTTTAAACTGGGCTTATATTTTGGCATATTTTGTGAATGAGAAGCCTGACATGCCAGAATTATGACAGAAGGGTGGTGTGTGTGTGTGTGTGTGTGTGTGTGTGTGTGAGAGAGAGAGAGAGAGAGAGAGAACAGCTGATAAATACAAGAAATCCTGGTTGTGAACTTACTGCAACTGTGTACCTCATGAAGAACCTTGGATAAAGCCATGCCTATTAAAAATTGGTTATGTGTCTCTGCTTGTTTTATATGGGAAAAGGAGACTAATTGTGGGTTGCCTAATTAAATTGCATGATAGAATGGCAGTGATGGTCTTGCTAATTTTTAATTCAGAAGTTTGACCTTGTGTAATATAGTTAATACAATGATTGTACTAAATGTAGAGCATGATTTTTTTAAAAAAGAGGCAAATTGTAGGTGGGAGGATATCTAAAAGAGGGTAAGAATGTCTTTCATATTTTAATTTTCAAAATATTTACTACTAATAACAGTATTTTAACAATGTTCAAAACATTTATGTTTTATAGATTTTTATAACAGATTTGCAAGAGAGTAGAATCTTTATCTGCATACTTTAAACAGCTTGCAGATAACTTTGGGTTCAGCTGTGGTGTGCCACTATAGTAGAGTCATAGAGTAAGAGCAGAGAAATAAACTCAAGTTCCTAAGTTCCCATTCAGATACAAAAACTAGCTGGGTGATTTGGGGTCAATCTCTACACCATGCTCGTTTACCTTGCAGGAGAATTATCACGAAAAAACACATTTTGCTGAATTTGATCTTAGATAAATAGGTGAACCTTATGATTTATTCAGCAAATGATGGCTTAGTGCAAATATCGTCTGTGGCAGGAGGGAATCAAATCATGCCAATCCCAATTCATTATGTGGTCCCCTTGGCAGAACATTGGTATTTCTCACTAGCAGTTAGGGCTAATGACATCTTAAGCAGCTGGTGAATGGGCTATTCAAACTGTTAAAATAAAAATTATCTAGAACGATCTAGTCCTGCCTTAGGCACAAAGCCAGCTGGGTGACCTTGGGCCTGTCATTCTTTCTCAGCCCTAAGGAGGCAGCAATGGCCATCCCCAACCACTTCTGGCGATCTTGCCAAGAAAAATGCAGGGACTAGTCCGGGAAGTTGCCAGGAATCAACACTGACATAAAGGCAATTAAAAAAAAAAAAAAGAGGAGGATCAAGTTTGGACATTGTAACAGCTGTAAATATGCAGTTGCATTCCTATTTAAGGGATGATTACAGTCTCCAAGTTGAGTCCAGTATCTGGTGATTTTATGTCCATGTAGTTTTCTTGGCAACAACAGAGAAGTGGTTTGTTATTGTCTTCTTCTGAGGTGGCTCTTTGACCTTCCAGTTTAGTCTGCTGTCCTGGGATTTCCTGGTAACATCCCATCCAACTTCTAGACAGGCCAAACCTTGCTTAGCTTCTGAGCCAGCCAAGTTCAACTTACTGAAATAGCCCAGAGCAGTGGGAAACTCACTGATTTACTGCCATGCAGCAGGCATGGATGGATTTCATAGCTACTTTTTCTTTTTTTTAAGGACTGCAGCTTCTATCAACTAGGGCCAAATTACAAAATGCAAAACTACATTTGCAAAGCACTGATTGTAACAGATGAATGTAGGAGTAGAAAAGTTTTCTTGTTGCTATTGTTAAACAATTGGGAGTCAAATATTTGCTGATCTACTGCAAGTCATCCAAATGGTAAATGCAGCTTTCCCCCCCATTTCTGCCTTAAAGGGTTCTAAGATTACAAGATAAAACAGGGAAACTGCTTTGAACCTCCAAAGAGCACTAAGTGCCAATAATGACAATATGAAAACAGAAGGTGCCAACTTTTTGAGAATGCAAAATGGTTCAACATTTGTATCTTCTGCTGCCAAGCAAAAACAACAAGTTTCTATAGTCAAGGATTTTATTAAGTTAACTCTGCAGAAATAAAGAAAATCAGCCGCCTTCATTGTTTGGCTCTGGCAACATCAGCAGTGAAATTTCTCCCCATGAGAACACATCAGTTGAACACAAGCTTTGGGGATGAAGACGGAATTTACAATGGGATGCAAAAACATTTAATCAACATGTTTAAAAAAATCTTCCATTGTTTTGAAAACAATTGGTACTCAAAGATTCTAAACATAAACTCTGCATGGTCTTTGGACAAACCAGTTCCATTGACAAAGTAACTGATACAACATTCTTTCGGCACAGCATATTGCAAACACGGACTGCTGTGAAGCAACCTTATACATCCTGAAGTTGCAGGGTGTGTGATATTGTCTCTCCACTTGAAGAAAATTGGAAGCAGATAGACACTTTTATTGTAAATACAACTAAATATTTGGGAGAAGGAACAATTAGGTCTAAAGGAACTTTAGGGAGAAAAATCTGGTCCACCTTTGTGGTTAACTGCTGGGAAAACTTAAGTATAAAATTTTAAAACATATCCCCCCATCCCCCAAAATATAAAATTTATTTTCATATATAAAGTCCCCAAAAGGTGCTAGCAATAGGATCCAGCCCAAAACATGCCCAAGTTATGCAGACGCATGTGATGGCTATTCTGATAGAGGGTCGCCCTGTGTTCCTGGAGAGGAATGCTGCTTTATTCCCCAAAGTGGTGCACAGAAGGGTAACTAACCTATGGAACAAAGAAAGAAGCAGAATTAAGAAATTGAATTATGTTCAAAAAGTATGTCCTTCATATGTAGCGGGACTTGTGGCCATGCTAAGAATGATGGAAGATTTAGAGTGTCTTGGAGATGACAATTTATATGCTGTAGCTGTAACAGCCTTGACTTGTAAACTTATTTTAGATGCAGAATGAAACTGAGCTCGCCCAGACCTATACAGTAATGGGGACCAACCTGTGGCTTTCCGCCTGATTTCATGGAGCCTTCTGCAAGCAGTTTGCTTATACATTTCTCCTCTGGCATCCCACAGAATGGGGGAGAGAAGAGGAGGCAGTGGTGGCAGGGAGAAAGATTCTGAGCTCTGCCGAGCAATCAGCGAGATATCCAATACAACTGGCATCTCTGCCGCTGGAGAAAAAGAGACCCCCAAACGCCTTCTGCCTTTGCAGCATGGCTAGGTCCACTTTACGTGACATATGTCTTTAGTGCAAGCGTGCTGGTCTTTTACCAGTACTGTTGTGCAGCATCTCTTTCTCTTCTAGGGCTGCCATGGCCAGGCGCAGATGTTCCTTCAGCTGTTCAATCTCTTGTTCTGACCGCTGCTTGATGTGATTCAGCTCCACATAGATATCCTGGTATTTCCCTGAGGCAAACTTCTTGTCCTACATGGGGAAAGGAAGTACCATTGTCCAGAAAGAATGGAAAACAAGGATATAAATGGAAGACATAGGCATCTTCTGACATGAAGAGCATATTATTAATTATAACAGGCTCAAATTATGGAATCTCTTGTGTTGAAGGTTTGTTGCTGAATGTACTAACAGTGGTATACAATTGTAGCAAAGCATATGTAAGAATAAATTAAATGCTTAGCAGATAGTTCAGTATTGAATGGGGAGTAAGACAAGGATATTTGATGTCTTCCTGGTTGTTTAATGTATTTATGGACTTGCAGAGATGTTAGAGGAATATTGGACATGAATGTACATGTACGCAGATGATACTGTATTGGCTGAGAACTTGAATGATTTGAAGTGAATGTCAGATTGTGTGATGCAACAGGGACTATGGATCTGAAAATTAATATATCAGACACAAAGGTAGTTGTGGGTAATAGGGAAAGTGGAGTAAATGTCTGCAAGTAGTACATAAATGGCAAGCAAATGAATTGTATACTATGGCAGAACATTTACTAGAGATGGGAAACTGGATGGAGAAATTTTAAGGTGTGCAAATGCTTCTAGAGAAATAGAGGGTAGGTCTATTGTGAGGAGCAAAAGTTTATCAAAAGACAATAGCTGCATATAAGAGCATGCTTTTGCCCACCTTGTTTTATGAAAGCTACCGCTGGGTATATCAGGAAATAAACATAAAAGCTGAATGCAGTGGTAAAATGAGAACAGGGAGGGTTAAGAATGAATGTGTGCTGAATACTAAATTGAGTGACTAGTATGAAAGAAATCTATTAGTCAAACACAATGAATGAGAATCAAATTGCAAAAAAAAAAAAAAAAAAAAGTAAATTGAGATGAAAAGGATGACTGAGTTTGGGGGATTTGATGAGACCTTCAAAAAAGAGAGCCAAGCAATTTAAAGAATAAAAGGCAATGTATAAGGTGAGATATGCATGTGGTGAAAGCAAGGATGATTTGCCAGGACAGAAAGGTATAGAGAAATAGAGAGAACAATTTGGTGAAAAACAGTTTTAGTTGGGTTTTCTTTTCTATCTCATGCCTTTAATTTCTTTGGCTTACTACTTTTCTATACTTTGGATAACACTGCATACTGTGAGAAGGAATGGACTGATGGGTTTGTACTTATGTGTGTATGTATTTCTCCTTGCAAACCAGCAACTTTGATTTTCTTTTAGGAATCTACCTTCTGCATCATTTGGAGTTCATCCCTCAGACACTGGACTTCTTGTTTCTGATATTGGAGTTCATTCTCCTTCACTCGGAGAAGCACCTTCAAAAAGAAGATGGAAAGGGAAATGTTAGGGCACAATTGTCTACTACAGAATCCACTTTCAATGTGGTAAGATAGATATCGCCCTCAGAAAAGAGCAAAAATTAGGTTACCCAAGTATTCTCCCTAGACTGAAATGACTGATACAAAGCAGAAAACTGACAGTGTTCATGAACAAGCCAACTGAATTTCCATGGCTGGGTTCACCTAGCCTGCTCAACCACGTTTGTTCAACCATACTTTATTGCCTGGTGGCTTTCTCAAAAACAAAGCAAAAAAAAAAACAACTTAGGAGTTTGATGCAATGTTTGCAAAATCCAGGTTGATTTTCCTTCAGCAAAGCTTCTTTCTCTATGTCCTTGATTACTATTTCTACCAATTGTCTTGAAGAGGCATTAAGCTGATTGACCTGTAATTTCCCAGATCTCCCTTTTAAAAACTGGTGTCACACTGGCTATCTTCCAGTCCTCTAGTACCGAACCCAATCACATCTGAGCTTATTCAAGAACTCTTGGGTGGATGCTATTAGGGCCCAATGATTTGGTACTGAGTGGACCTTCCAAATCTTCTTGAATATCTTAGGAAGTTGCTACAAATACCTATGTGCTTCTGCCTCTGAATTCAGCAAGAGATTTATTTCAGTCACAATATTATATAGCCAAACTATACCTGAAAGAAAAACTGCAAATTTGGCAGACAAAAAATATCAGGCAACAAGCAACCGTCCTCCTTACCTCTAGCTCACAAGAACTCCTTTCATTATGTGAAGCACCATCATGTGAGCCCCGAGCAGCGATGAAGGCCCGTAACTGGCCAATCTCCTCTGAAAGACGCCTCTGTAACTCCTGGAAGGAGGATGAAATAGTTTATCATATGCATCCTGTAAAACAGGTGCGGACAGCCTTTTTGCAGCTTGTAAACTTTTAAACATTTTTTTCAATAATGGAGGGAATGCTAGTGATATGACAATGTCCTCAAGGGAAACAGATTGTTTCCTACTTTCCCCACTCAATTTCTAAACTTTTTAAACTTATTAAAAGATGAACTATGTATAGGAAAACCACATCTATTTAATTTATTTTGACAAAAGACTCTGGACAACTGCACCACCTTTACTCAGTGGCCTGCTACCATCTTTCAGTAGTGCAGCCTTGAGGAGATAGATCTCGGGTTGCATGTCACCAGGGCTATCTATAAAGCTTGTCTTTCTAGAGCTTAATACAGTGTTTACTATTCTACTGCTTAATTTGACTGGGCATCCTAGGGATTCTAAACAGGCCTATGATTGACATCACAAAAATTGTTGCCAAATCTCCCAGAATTAGCTGCTAAGACAAGGACCACCAGGTGAGATTAATGGAAAGCTCTCTGGAATTTAAATTTAATTTTAAATTTAAGAGATTGCAACTGTCCTCCTTTCATATATGCTACTCTGCTTTGTCACTGTTCTTCCCTTGGAATTCCTGTTACTGGCAGCACCACCAGCCCCTTGCCTGGTTTTGCCGAAGCAGTTCTTTCCCCTCCTGTTGACAATGCTGCAGCATTTGTTCCTGATCTTCTGCCTTTTGCACCAGGCCCCCAATCTCCAGGCACTTCTGGGAATACTGTTCTGAAAGCACCTGCAACTCCCGCTTCAGAGACTCCACATCAGACCTGCAGGAGACATCAGAATTTCAACATCAGCGGATCTACTTCCTTCTAAGTTCCTATGATAGCCTCCTTACAACCTGGTCCCCTCCAGGGATCTTATTTTGCAAATCCTGAACAAAACATGACCATTATGGGATAGAAGCCAGTTAGGGGGCTAGTCTATACAAGTACAGCCTATTACTATCATCCCCATTCCCAGATTTGATATGCCTAGGCATCTTCTTAACTGAGATGTCAGAGTTCCTCCTGTAGACTAAAAATGGTGCAAAAGGGCCTTAATGGTCCTACTTAATTACAGTCCTAGCTGGTCCCATTTGTGGAAAGAAAACAATGGCTTCTAGTGAAAATTGACAGCACAAGCCATGAGCTTTTCCCATAAAAAGGTTTAAATGAGCTTGGAGGTGGTTGTGTATGCATCCCAAAAGCGAATGGGGATAGGTCAAAGAATGAAATACTGTAGAGTTAGGACAAAAATTTAATTTGATCCAAAGCATTAAATTAACACATAACATTAATATGACTACTCCCCAGCTATTTAATATTTTTCCTTTCTATGATATTATTTAAAATAGATGGCAATGGTGGCAATGCATTGCACCCAAAAATTTAGAGGCACAGGGATCACAGGTTTTGCTCTTCCAACAAAGTAATTATACATTCAGCACTCAGGATCTCCCTTTCATCAACTGCCACAGCAGTCAACATTTGTGGAAATGTACAATTTTATCTCCTATCTCAGTTCAGGAGTCAAGATTCCATTAGTCATTCTTCCAGTGTTGCTTACCGATGCTGTTGCTGGAGTGCATCTGGATTTGAAAATCCTTTCTGAAAGTTGCGTGTTCTGCCCAACTCCTTGTTCATTTCCTCCCTGTGTGCCTTCTTCAGTGCTTCAATTGCTAGAGCAAAGGGAAGGGTAGGAGTAGAAAGGCAGGATACAGAAAGGGTCTGTAAAATCTGCTAAACTTGAAAGTGTATGCATCTTATGGATTCAAAACTAAAACCAAAATTTTCTTGGGGAGGAGAAAAATCCAGTGGAAGCGCACGTGTTTTGCACCCATACATTCTATCAAGTGACAAAGACATTTGCTTACTGATGTTTACTTTTCAATGACAGAGATTTCAGTGGCTAGAGCTAAACACAACTTACTATATGTGAATGATACTTTGATCGATCATTGTGAATATTCTTTTCCAAAATGTACTGACATTTATAAAAAGTATGCTGAATTACCAAATTATTCAATTAACTGGAGAAATCTCATATGTTCCCAGTTAAAATTCCTAACAAATGAGGTTTTTACTTTGGGGTTTTACTCTAAGTTTCTCGGCGCAATTATTTGGTGAGAAATTTCTCTGCCTTTTGGACTCCCGGGGCAGTTATGGTGAACTTTCGCAGAGCCAATGGCCATGGCAAAGACCAAGGAACCGGTGAGTAGACCAGTTCTTGGGAACCTCTCTGGACAAGTAGAGGACAGGATATTGTCCACATACGCTCTGGCAGCTGCTCCTCATGAGGAGATTGCAGGACAGTGGGTTTCTGCAGGTTTGAGGTCCAGGAGACAACAGGATCAGCTATCTTGCTTGCAACCATGGCAGAGCCTTTTAAAGGACTCTAAATTAGCAAACCTCACTTTCTAATCACTTTCAGAAATTGCCTATTAACCCTCTTAAAGCTATTAGAGACTTTCAGAACAAGAAGTCTGAAAAGTCTTCGTTAGGTGAGTTTATCTTCGACTCTGAACAAAAGAAAAATTAATTATAAGCTTAAGAACTTTAAAAAATTGAAATAAACAGCAAAAAGCTAAATAAAATTTTGATCTAAGAAAGTTATAAATGGATTAAGGGTCCAGATAAAGTTGGAATACTGACTTTTTCTATAAGATTTTGAAATTAACTATAAAAAATAAACAGCTTCTTGTGGGAAACAGACTTACTTCGGCTACCCTGGCTATTGAAAGTCATAACAAAGATAAGTGATGAAACTGGACACTAGTCATTCCCGAGGTTAAACCCGAGCCCCAACCCTGCTGGCCCTCCGGCAGGCTCTTGAGACATGGCTTTATCCTGGTTGTGCCCGGGGGGTCCAGCGGTAGTGCGGAGCCTGCTGGTTGGCTGCATTGTTAGTAATTCATTGTACTCCCTCACAAATTGATTTTATCGTTTTAATTAACTGTTTTTAATGAGTTTTAATGGCTTTTATTTTGTCTTTATTTCTAATTGTTGCTTTTTAATTATGTAAGCTGCCCAGGGTCACTTAGGTGAGATGGGTGACGATATAAATGTTTCAAATGTTATTCCAGATTAATATTGGTATTAACAAACGGTTAAAAATCCACTTGAGTATACAGGGAAAGACAACTGTGTAAAATGAGTATTTCTTCAAGACTGATGTTTGTATTTAAAGGGATTCCTATGTTTTTATCTTTAGAGATACTATTTTAAGCAGACTGGCACATTATTGAAGTTTTTATGGGAAGAAAAACCCCTATATTCTCTTTATTTAAATTATGGCTATTATACAAGGATGAAGGTTACATGCATTAACTTCACTGATTTTCTTGGGCATCTATTTCAACTCTGCTTCCTTATGGAATTCAGATGATCAAGCTCAAAAATCATTATGGGCATGATTAGAAAGTTTCTATATAACTCTTTCAACAAAATAACAGGGTCCTGGTTCTTTTTTTAGTTAAAATTCTACTCTATTTCCAGCACTAAAGGCTGCAAGGCATATTTAGGGAATGTTGGGATGTAAGCACAATTTGGACTTTTCTTCACATGATATACATTTCGGGATAATTTCAATTTTAAAATTGCAGGTAAATCTTTTTTGGGTAGGAGGAGAAACTCATGGGTCAAAAATATTTTAGATCAAGTGTTTAAAATACCTGATTTATTGCAAAAGGAATTTGGATTGTCTAAAAATGCAGGATGGCAGTTAATCTAATTAAAACATCTTCTGATTTCACAATTTGCTCCTGATGCATTAGCAGCTCTATAGCTCCTGAGAGACCATCAATACTGAAATGCATTTTGGATGATTCTAATCTACAGAACTTCACAAATAAAATAATATTTTTAAGATGGACATCGGGAATGCCCAATGCTAACAAATCAGCAGTTGCAGGTTCAAACTATTAAACAGCATGACTTGGCAGGAAAAGGGGAATCTAGTTCAATGAATCCAATCCTGCTACCTCCAGGACTTAGGCCAATGGAGGGAACAGGAGGCCAAAGCAAGAATCCATACAGTTTGAAGCTCCCTAATGAGGACTACTGAAAAATGAAGTGACAGCTCTTCCAAATCTCTAGTGGAAGCTCTATCAAGAATTTTATAGCTCTGTTGCTGATTACAAGATATCTAACATAAAATCATGGTTAAATTTCCCACCCTTTGATTTCTCCTCTCCTTTTCTTCTCTTTTGTTCCCATTTGTACTGTGAAGACTATCTTCTGTTTGTTTCCACTCTGAAGATATTGCTCTGGTTGACAGCCATATCTTCCTAATTTTTACATGCCCTTTCCTTGGCATTTAAAGGGGTAAATGCAGAATAAGGCCAGCCCATGGACTTCAGTTGTTTTTGATGCTTAGTTGTTTGCTATCAAAGTGCATGCTCTGCTTCTCCCAATCAAGAGAGGGCAGCACTACATGATTTTAAATACTTAGGAAAAAATTGGAATTCATCAACAAAAGACGTATGTATTTATCAAGCTTGGGGCATTAAAAAAACATTCTGTTACCGAGAAAAGACTGCACTCTGAATCTACTTTCTTGGCTTGATGATCTATGGTCTCTCTCTGCTTTTGAACTGGCTCTCTATTAATAGAATGGAAAATTTTATCAGAACTATTGGGCAAGGTTTAATGTTGTATTTAAAAAACGAACTGTTCGTTTGAATATGTATTTGCATTTTTTCTTCTTTTTGTTTCCCTTTTCTATATTGCATATAGGAATAAAGATAAGCATTATGACTTCGTGTTGTGTGTGCCTTGCGCCACTGAGTAGCTTCTACCTGCAGCTGTTGCAGCTGCCTCCTCGGATAGAAGACGCTCCTTTTCCTGCCGCAACCGCTCCATCTCCCACTGGTGGTGCCGCTGTAGTTCTGCCATGACCTGTTGATGGGAAGTTTCCATCTCTGCTAAACTGTGCTCACATGCCTCCTAGAAGGGGGATGGGGGAGAGAAGAATGGAAAGACACACTTTATGTGATGAAATATGAACAACAAGAAATGCATATTCTCCATGGTTGCATCTCTGCCATGGCTGAACACTGAGAACAGGTAATCACAAAAAAATGAACAGGGACTTCTTAACATATTAAAAACGGAGACACAGATATGCATCATGCAGCCCTATTAGGGTTACATTTTAAGACATTTCCAATGGAAAGGCTATGTTAAAATGCAGTGAAAAATTGAGCAATCATTCTGAGGACATTATAAACCAATTCGTAGAAGTCCATGTTTGGGCCCACACGGTGGCACTGAGGGCATCAAAACATCAGCACTTCTGCTCACACTATTTAAGGTAACCCACACCCTACTGGGGAAGGACAGGTTTGACCGCTGTGACAGCAAAACACTGTGCAGATAAAACTGCTTGCATTTACTCAGATCTTGACTTCCCATCAGCAGAATCCAATTAAATAATTGGGGCACCGTCTTGCGAGGTTTCCTCGGATTCTTTTGATCTTGTGGACTCTGAGGATATCAACAGCGTTCTAGAAGGCACAAGTTCTACCACCTGTTTCCTTCAGGCAGTTTAGGGGAGTCAACAGCTGGACTAAGGAGATTAAGGACTTTGAGGGATGGGCTAGTAATTGTCATTTCTTGATCTCAAAGTTACACAACTTCTGTCTGGACTCCAACCTTCCTTTTTTGAAGGTTCTGAAGAAGGTGGTGGGATTATGCTTGGAGAGACTCCTGAATGAAGTGGATTATCTCAATCCTTTGGGTCACGGTTCAGACCTGGATGTGGGATAGAGATTACTGCATGATGCTGTTGGGATCTAGATGGTGGGAGTATGGTTCTGCTGGTCCTATTACATCGCTCAGTGGTATTTAATATTTTGGACCCTGATATTCTCCTGGATTCCCCATGAGGGTTAGGAGCTGGGGGGTTTGTTTTATCACGGTTTTTCTCTTGCCTGGGCAGGCAGTTCCAGTCAGTAGTATAGGGAGAGGAATAATCAAACTCTTGGCTGTTCATATATAGGCTCTGCTCTTTATTTAATATCTATATGAAACTTGGGGAGGTCTGTTGGTTGAGCATCAGATATTATCAATATGCTGACCCACTTATTCACCTCCATCCCTGGCCAAGTAGGAAATGCCGTGGATATCCTTACCCAATGACTGGTAGCAATAAGGCTTTGAATGAGATTAAACAAGTTGAAACCAAACTTTAGCCAGATGGAGCTGCTATTCATTTAGAAACCATTGGATTTGCTGTTGCCCCTCACTGGATAGGGTTACACTTCCCTTAGAGGGGCAGGTCTGCAACTTGGGGGATCTATCGGAGCAGCAGGTGGAATTTGTCCCAAGGAAAGCTTTGCCCAACTTCAGCTGGTCTGTGGCTCTTTTTGGGAGGCCTCAGCAACAATGACTCATGGCCTTATTACCTTGAGACTGGATTACTGCAATGTATTCTACTTAGCCTGCCCATGAAGGCTACCTGGAAACTGCATGCTGGTGGGCGAGAGTCACTTCAGTAGTACAGAATGTATGGGTGCTATATTTGTTATCAATATGTTTTTAATACAATTCAAGATGCTGTTATTGTCCTATATAGTTTGGGTCCAACCTATCTATGGGACCTCAAACAGAATCTGTTCATCCTATTTAATCAATCAGGAAGGGGTGATGTAGCTTTTCTCTCTGAGATTAGGGTGAGAACGTGGAACCTGGAAGTTTTGTTGGTAGTGGCCCCATCTCTCCAAAACATTCTGGAAAGCAATGAAAACATGGCTTTTCTGGTGAGGATTTGGGGTTTGAGCTGTGTGCAATGCAGGGTCACTTTGAACTTTTTAACTGTAACTGTTAATTGATAAGGTTTTAAAATAATTAATTTTATTAAAGTCACCTAGCGTTTATTGAAGCAAGGATACAAACAGTGTAATAAATAAAATAAATAAATCTCATGATCAAAATCATAGAGGGAAATCTAGTGATAAACATTAACATTTTAATTTGTAAATGTACATGTAAATTCAAAATTTAAGTTTAATCTACGCAACTCAAAACACAGCACACATTGTATCTTACTATCAATATGAGTATGAGGCATTATCTTGACATATATTTTAGAATGATTTTATAATTGATCTAAAAAGCTTTGGAGTTTTCTATAATAATAATATAGAAATACTTTTAATAAAAATAAATAACAAAAAGAGTTTCAAAAAAATAAAGATGTCTCCAATTTAGAGTTCCAGTCAACAAGTTCAGCCTGTCCAATTGCTTTTTATTAAAATAATTTAGTTGATGATACTAACTACATCCTGTTTTGCACTGTGAATTGCAGTATACTCCTGAACCTCAAAGGCAATTACTCTTAACTATATGTATGTTCAACCATCTTATTATCTGGAAATGCTACACTATAATTTGGCATTATAAAAACAAGACACAGTGAAACTTGGTCTCACCTTCTCTGTTGGTTGTGCAGCCACCAAGAAAGCTTGAAAACTCTCCCTTCCATTTCAAATTAGTTATAGCTACTGTCTTGCCTGGCCTCAAAAGCACTCCAAAAAGCCTTAACTAAAATTAAAATAAACCAAGTTCATATAACTATGGGTTGAAACTAGTTTTTCAACAAGTCATAGCTACTTTATTTATCCATTCAGTCAGTTTTTAGTCTATAATCATTGCTAAAAGCAATCCAAAAATGGGAAGCAATTAAAAAAAATCTATTTTAATGAACAGATAGGACTTAAGTTGGTGCTAAAAATTCCCAAGAATTGGCAACAACTGTAACTGAGCACATAGGAAACTCCACAGTGGAGTGCCTTGTACTGAAAATGCTGTCTTGAGTTACTGCAGAGTAAATTGTTGCCAAATACAGCAACTTTGTGAATCCATGCCCACTAGATCTTAGCTGATCAGTAAATATGCAAGAGATTCACTCTGTTCAGATGAGGATAATGGCTTCTGGTTAATATGGAAGTAGAAGTTTCCTGCCTCGTCCTCACTCCATATCAGAGGACTCAGGCAGACGTTTACAGTTACTATCACTGGTTGAGACGGAAACAGGCTAGGATGAAATCACTAGAAAAAAATCCTTCAGCCAAGTTGGTAGCAATTTCAATACCTGCAGCCCCTTAGCTATTGCTGAGCTACCACCCTGCCTTAGCCAGCATGGTCAACATCAAGGGGTTCTGCAAATCAAAGTTAGCAGCTCCTGGAGCTCCATAGATTCCTCATTCCTGCGTTAAAGAGCAACGCAATAAGGAAGGGCTTGCGTTAGAAGTCCTTCCCTTCCAAGGTTTGCCACAGTGGCCAGGCACTGACCATGTGTTTAAGGGCATTGTCTCATTGTAGATGCTCCAATCATAGATGGCTCTGGCAGGAAAATGATGGGCATAGTCCCAGCTCTCTTCTTTTCTCTATCCTCACTGGCTGGCTGTTGACTGGAGCGGAGAAAGGAAAAGCTGGAGGATGCAGAGGATTATGCTGGGCTATTACCATTACCTGAGAAATGTATCCTTGGGGCACGTGCCCATTTTTATGGAGGTTTGCTTCACTGTGGGAATGCAAGGACTCCAGCTGTGACCTCAGGACTTGGACCTGTGTCAGAAAAATGATTTAGTAAAAAAACCCAACAACCAAGCAATAATTTTCTGCTAACCCGAGTCCCAGCTCAACAGGCTAAGGCAAGTGGACTTATTTCCTAATCCACCCATATACCCTTGACATTATGGCATAATGACATATTGGCATGCTGATACTTCATTTTAGTACATCCATTTTAAACCCCTCAATATTTCCCTCTTACTGCTGCTCCAAAGTATCATAATCACTGCTGCATGGAAATTTCTATGTGACAATGGATTTTAGATGTTGCTGGCACCATTCAACAGTCGTTTTTCTTTATAGATGACTCTATGCTGTGGGCACTCTACTCAGGTAGCTACAAGGTGCTATTCTGTTTCTGCGAGTACTGAAACACAGAACCCCCAGTGATCTCTATGTGCTGGTTTGGTTCATATTATTATTTAGTGTTATGAGCAAACCACAAAGTTGCATAATGACTTTGTGGATGTGACTGGTTTCATGTACTGTGTTAAATTAAAATATGGTTTGTTCTGTTTTGCTTTAGCATGTTGGGAAAACCCAGACACTATGATTTGTAAACCATGGTTTGTGTCTTATTCAACAAACTGTAGCTGAGCCAGGCCTATGTGTGTGAGAGGGTCAAGTGATCATAATTTAATTGGTGGGTGTTTCAAATTACTCAAAATGAACCTGGCTGGGGACATCTTCTCTGCACAATGATAAAAGCATGGAAGGAGGTCTTTTCCTATTCATGCAGTGTTCTCAGTGCACCAGACTGATGGCATGCATCTCTACAGAGAAGCTCATGTTCCTCCTTCCTCCTTGTTTCAACACCTTTCAAAATCAGCATGAAGATTAGGAACAATTCAAAGAATGTACACATTTGCATTATTCAGGCTTGTGAAAGGGATAGAGGTATTTTCCTGCCCCATATGATGATGCAGAGCTTTGCCAGTGACTACTTCTACCTCTTTCTCCAGTGCCTCACTTGCATCCTCACGGTTCCCTTTGCCCTGGTTCAACAGTGCCATCAGCGGGACCCGCTTGGACTCTTTTAGAGGCAGACGTTCCAGCTCCTGCCACTTCTTCTCAATCTCTTCACTCAGCCGACTCCTCTGAGCTTCAGTAAGAGGAATCCCTGGAGGTTTCTTAGGACAGGGATCCTCTGTTGGACCATCTGTTTGCAGGCCCCCACTGACTGAAGACTCAAACCACTTGCGCCTCTCCTCTGAGCGGAGGGCCAGGTCCCGCTCCAGCTCCTCCCGCTTGGCTGCTCCATCTGCAGTTCTTGTGCTCCCTCTTGGCTGCTGTGGGGACCCCTGATTTAAAGCTGACCCCTGTTGTAAGGGGGATAGCTCAACATAGTCAAAAGCCTGGTACCGCGCTTCAGCCTTCCTGCGGCCCGGTCTGGATATCACCTCACTTCCAGTGTTGGGCTGCAGCTCGGTTCTGAAGGAGCTCTTGGGTGATTTGTTGCTGCGGAATGAGTTTTCCTTGTTGTAGTCAGATAGCCTGGAATCAGGAGAAAAGTCATGCAAAGCTTAGAAGTAGGAATCATGCAGGAAGGTGTTTCAGAAGCTGCCTACAATGGCTCTCCAATCTCAGTGTGGGTTACACCCAGATCTGGAAGCCAGCCAAGTACAGTCAGCCCTATTACCCCACATGGCAATTCAAGAGGAACAAGTTCTCAAGAAGTTACAATAACTAGGTTGCTGGAAATATAGCCAAACATGATGATGAATAATACTAGTAAATATTTTCACCTGGCTGAGTTGGAAAGAAGAGTATGCATTCCAGACTGACAGCAATGGATCAGACTAGACAGTCTCTGGGAATCAGAAAGAGATCCAGCATAGCAATCTAGCTTTCAATCTACATTTAAAGGATCCTAGGTTCAATCACATCAGGGTCGGGGAAGAGGGATTTGTGAAATCTGGAGAAGAGCTGCTGACAAGTGCAGATGGTACTGAGGTCAGTGGGACAAGACTTGATGTAAATCAGTTTCTTCTACTCCTCAACTCCGTAAGAAACCTGTTTTTCACCAAAACCTTTAGCACAATCCTCTACATTTGCTTTGCCTACAATTCCTAACCACTGTGGCTATTAAAGAGCATCAGATTTAAGAAGATTTAAGAAGCTCTGGCATCCCCATTCCATCACCCTTGTCTAAGAAGGAACCTACAGCTGCCAAAGTTTCCTATAGAGCTCTAGGAATTCCCAAATGCCACTAGTTCTTGTCCAAACATTGCCCTGTTGTTGTTGCAAGCCTGTCTTGAAATAGTTGCCAAGGATTTGCTGCAGCAAGTAAAACAACAGGCTTGCAGACTGAGACTGCAGCTCTAGACATGGCTACTCAGAATTAAACCCCCTGAATTCAATGAAACTTATTCCGAGGTAATTGCAAACTGGACTGCAGTAGAAGGCAGTTTAGATTTACTCAAGATAAAAGATAAATTTTTATTTGTTTATCTATTAATCAAATTTGTAAGGCTGCCCATCTATCTAAAGAAATTCTGGGTGATGATCAAAAGTAAGAAACAACAATCATAAGATACAGAGGAAAAATGCAGATCGAGGCCTCCTCACTGAAAATCTCAAAAAACAGCCATACTATACATCTATGACAGAGCTCCAGAAACTAACAGCCTGGTCCCAATACCTTGAGGAAGACCCAGGTTTTCACAGCCTTCTGAAAGGCTGCTAAGGTTGGGGTCATCTGTATCTTTGCAAGCTGTTCTATAGGGCAGGCCCCATGACAAAGAAGGCATGCTTCCTAGGACCCACCAGGTGACACTGTCTGGAGGGGACCTGGAGATTCTGCCAGATCTGGTGGGATGGGCAGAAACCAGTGGGGAAAGGTGGTCCCACAAGTAACCCAGCCCCATACCATGCAGGGCTTTAAAAGTGACAACCAGCACCTTGAATTGCACCTGGAAGCCTACTGGGAACCAGTGCAGCTGACACTGCAGTGGTGTTACGTGGATGTACTACAGTGTACTCAATATTGCATCTACCACTGCTTTCTGGACCAGCTGAAGCTTGAAAATGCTCAAGGGCAGTCCCATGTACAGCACACTGCAACAGTCTGATTGGGAGGTGACAAAGGCATAAATGACCATGAGCAGTACCTCCCGATCTAGGAATGGGTGCAACTGGTGCCCAAGATATATTTGTGCAAAGGCTCTCCTGGCTACAGCAGCCACCTGCTCTTTGAGCAGGAACTGCAACTCTAGGAGGACACCCCCTATTGCACACCAAATAGAAGAACAGTGTTCAACAAACTTTCTCAGTGTATTTAATTTATTTCATTTATTACTAAGCTTAATGCACCACATACTTTGTGACATCAGGCACACTGACTGGACGAATACTCTTCCTTAGAGCCTCAATCCAATTCCGACGGATTCCTGATGTCATTGCAGATAACGTAAAAACACCATCTTTAGTCTGGAAAAAAGAAACATGCAAAATATGGCTTGATTATACATCTCAAGCATACCTATGGTTCATCTTCAACACAGGAAAGGTAAATGGGGCAGATGGAAGCCAGCATATACTAGCAATAGAAGAGAATATATGTAGCTCAGGGTTGAGCTGCGGAGTCTTTCACGCTCTCTGAGCTTGGTTATTTGCTTGCAGACGTTTCATTACCTGACTAGTAGGGTAATGAAACGTCTGCAAATAAGCAACCAAGCTCAACGAGCATAAATGACTCCATATGCTAGCAAGTATTACGAGCAAATCTGATTCACACATTTGAAAGAGTCTTCAGTTTTGGGTTTTGGCTAAACTGGAAAACTATTAGGAAACAGCAAGATTTTTATAAGGATAAAATCACATAAGAACTTCCATACAAACCAAGTATTAATTGAAGCTGAATCCCACTTAGTTTAAGCTTCTGTTCAACAATATTTATGCAAGGTGCAAGCCTAATCCATCTGGAGAACTTCAGTTTAACAGACAAAAAGGTAAGCACTGGGGTTCCTTACTGCTATAATTTTATGACTGTGGCTTAGAAAATAATTTCAATTCACAAGCTAAGTTGCCATCTTTGAATTTGCCTCATGGTGGCAAGACAGAAGCATTTTTTCTGCAGCAGTATTAAATCATCTTATAGTGCTTTTTCTGGACTCTGTAAACTATATGTCCCTTTTATTTCATTCCCAAATGCTAGGGTTCTGAGAACTTACATGTATCTGGAAGCCATAATTCCTCTGCACTGCATATTCTGTCACATCGGTGCATGTACGTAGGTCAATCTCTCCATCTAGATCATCTGCCTGAAATGACCTCCAGACCATCAGTGTTATGCGAGACACCTAGTCCAGGAATTTTCCATCTCCTTAATATGTCCCATGTACACCCTCTCCAGTCTACCCTAGCCTCCTTCCTCTTATCTACTTCAGTTAAATAATTATTTCCAAGCTAAGCAGTCCCATGTTCTCCCTATTCTCTACAGTGTATACAAAAGTACACAGCATTTCTTTGCCTTTTTCAACTAAGCACATCACTTCAAATTTTTTCTCCAAGGAAATACATGCAATCATTACACAGTACTCTTCCCTTGAGTACCTGACTACCACATCCAACAGATTTCATTAAGGCTAGGAAACTTTCTTACCTCTTCAGCATTGGAGTCCCTGTAGTATCTCAGACTTGAATCTGTCAGCACAAACCAGTGCTTTGTCCACTGTTGGCCAAATTGTTAATGGAAGGAGAATGGCAAGACAAAAGAGAAGATTTTTATATGTTCTCAGAAACACAGACCATTCAATACATATGCTGTTCAAAAAGCACTTAGCCTCAGTATGTGGCCCCATAATTTTGAAAAAGAGACCTTCCTGTTTATTTATTAGGATATCAGCCATTTTTGACAGGGAACATGCAACAGAATTGTGAAACATGGAAAACATGCTAGGGAAAGTATCAGTCAAAGGTGATTTATATGTATATATTTCATTTCATGTCACTTTGAAGATTACTCATAAGATATTGCTTGACATGTAAAAACATGAGATAATTCATTTATGTTGCACAAGCAAAAGCTCCTGAAAAGCAACACATTTAATTATGAAGAAAAGTCAAAAGTATTGTCGAAGGCTTTCACGGCCGGCATACGGTGGCTGGTGTGGGTCTTCCGGGCTGCGGAAGGGAGAACTGCTCCTGTCTGTGCTCCTGCACTCTGAAGATGCCGGTCACAGGTGCTGGCGAAACGTTAGG